ATGCAATGGGAAGAAGGAAAAGGCCTCTATAATCAAGGCTTTTATAGCAGTGTATCCACTTTATGGATTTTCTAGTTGATGATGGCAAAGTACTGCAGTGGCAACCTGGTCAGATGTCACAGCTGACTGAAAATGAGCTGTGGAACAGTGGGCAGTACCCAAGAGGCATCCCGCTTACACCACTGAGCTAGCACTGGCATAAGAGACCTGTCGCACAATTTATTTTAAAAAATGCCTATAAAATTTTGCAAGTTTAAAAGCTGATTATAAAATAGAAGTAAAAACCAGATTAAAACCTAGCAGCAGTGCAGGGATTTAAAGTACAGTAAAGAATTTAAGTAGCAGACACTGAAAGTAAAATTCCTCAGAAAATCCTGGAAAAAATAAGGACTTTACCTGGTGCTGGAAAAACAGGCACCAGATGACCTTTTCTGGGAACTTTGGTCCACAACCAGGGTGCCACAACAGAAAAGGCCCTCTTCATTATTGTGGTGTCTGACTTGTGATAGATTGGAGTGATGGATCGAAAATGCTGCACCATCTTGTCACAGCCTGCTACTGAGGGTACCACCCTTTCTCTCGCCTGACCTAGATTTGCACCAGGCCACGAACTATTCGAAAAAGCTTGACTGAACACCGGAAAGATGCAATCGCACCCTCTTTGCCACAATCACAGGATAGGCCTGATAATGACCCATATTTGCTTCGATTCAGCATGAGTTTTCCTTCACCTGCATTCCAGCTGCCTTCCTTCTTAATTCATCGCATGCAGCTCATGTACATTGAGCCAATATTGCAAGGCCAATAATGCATGTCGATATGACTGGTTTTCTGGAGAAACCCATCACACCAGAATAGATTGTTGGCATTTCACCAGAGGTCTTCTACCCTTTTGCAATGTCCAAGTCTTAAGTTGAGTGACACCACTGGATACTGTCTAGTGCTGCAAACAAGGACAAATTCCTGGCCCCTAATTGTGGGCTTCTTTATATGAAGCATTTATTGTGCACTCATGGAAGTTTCTGGGTCCTTTACGGGATGTCATCATCCCCCAGGGCTTCTCAATGTGTTTCCAGCTATTTTCATGGGTTTTTTTTTTTTTTTTTAAGAGTAAGCGAAGTGTACTATTATGAGAAACACTGTGCATATTTGCAAGTCTGCTGTAAACTGCAGTGCCACCTTGTGCTTATGCAATGGAACATAACAAAGGCAGGGGTGGAAAACACTCTTGTAAAGGACACACTTTTCCTCCTGCAAAGAAAACAAAAGCAGCAGCCTGGGGGAACTGCCAGTTTAGACAGCTCCTGTGGAGCAGCCCTGTGAGTGTGGATCCAGATATTATTCAAAGAACAGAAATATCTGCTGTTACTTTTATATCCCCAAATTAGGTAGTGATCTTTCTAGGGCTGTGTGGAATTGACAAGGACCATTTCTCAGATGTTTCCTCTGCCTTTTGTTTCAGCTAGGGGTGAAGGGGTTGTGATGTGGAAATCTTGGAGGTGGAGAGAAGAGAGCTGAAACCACCACTCTTTTGTTATCCAAGGTGCTTGCTGAGTCTGGAAAGTACTGAGATGGCCATCACCAGAACAAAAGCAAAGCAAAACCAAACAAAAAGCGGGCTTCTTTGCTATTCACTGTGGGCCACTATTATAGTGGACAGCAATCAGAACATACATTTTCACTGAGTGCACAGATTATGTGTTAGCTTGTCAAATAGGACAGGAGCCAGGTTAAATATCCCTTAGAAGAACAGGACTAAAAGCAGTCCTTTGGACATATAAACTCACAGTGTGACATTCCCTGCAAGCCAATGTTTACACCCAGTCCACCACCGTTTCTTTTCCCCACCCCTTCTTACAGATATCTTGCAAAATCCCCCAAACACTATCCCATGCTGTCTTTTCTGGGGAAAAGGAAAGATGAGGGAATTTTAGAGAATGGGTGTAGTCCTATGCATGCTTGGACAGAAAAAGTCCTACAGTGCCAGCATGATTTGCTGGGGCATGTTGGGAGCTGTAGCGCTTTCTGGTGCACTATCAATGCAGTACTATATGTTTAATCAAGCCCTAGTGAATTCAATAGGGCAAAACCACAAGTAAACCTGGCTGTGAATCAATGAAATGATTTGGCAAAAGAAATCTGGGACAATTTCACCTTTGCTAGGTCAGTTCCATGAATTTTTGGTTGAACCACCATTTCTCTATGAAATTCTTCTAAATTAGTCAAGTCTAGACTGATGTTGTTATGTACACATATATTTTCCTATGTCAGAGACATATGTTCAAAATGATCGCCAATCAACAAAACCCCAAACCTAAGATGAGAATTAAACTAAAGATGATTCATCTGGAAGTGTTTCACTTCTGCTGACTATTTCTGCGGAAGACAGAGCAATCCAGACAAGGCTGTCACATGGAGAAGGGGGTGTTGTTCAACTGCCTGACCCCCACTGTGGGATCATCAGATTGCTGTTGCCCGTCCAAACTGGGACCACCACAGTTGCTATCTGCCACAGAAGCAAGATTGCCACTTAGAGCAAACAGCTGTGTGTGTGATGTGGCTCAGAGGTGTGATCCTGATCCCCTCACAGTCTTGTGGCCAATGCCATGCCTGGTTTGGCCTATATCAAACCATGTGACTAACCAAGGTCCTTTTGCTTTCACTGGAACTAAGGGGCAAGAAGAAAAGTAAAGGATTTGGGGACATCCATTCCACCTGCGTTTCATGGATTGGAAGGTATGTTTCATTCCTATGTCTGCTCATTGACAGAACCAGATTTTTTGGTAACCAGAGTTTCATTCTACCTCCATTAGTGCTATCGCACAGTTGCACACTCATTTGCAAATGCATATTAGTTAATGAAAATTAGCACAGAGTCTTCCCCAAAAGGGTTTTTTTTTTAAAGTTCACAAGTTTGTATGACTCAGGAAAGCTTATTCACAGTAGAATCTACAGGCCAGATTCACAGAATGCCAGTCTCACTGGAAACCACTGCTGATTTCTCTGACTTTCCTACTGCCAAGTTACATGCTACATCAATCAGGTTGTTTACCATTGCATTTCTTTTTATTTTAAACTAGATGGATGAAGGGGGCAATCAGAGTCAAGCCAAGGATGTGTCAGGAGGGGTTGTTAACCCTTGCCTCTCCGCTGCAATCCCCACATGAATTACCTGGGCAATTTGTCTTGGGAGGAAAAGGTAATCGCCATTTCAAGGAGGCTGTTTCCACTGGGACTGCAGTGGCTAGGAAAGGGGTTAGCTTACTCTTCCTTATATGCTGTGCATCACCCCTCCCCATGGCTATTTTAAAAGGAAAAAAAGATCCCACAGATATACAATGACAAACTTCACATTTAACATACTGTGTAATTTAGCTCTTGGGCTGTAATCCTAAACACACTTACTACTGTGTAAATGGCATTGAACAAATAAGATTTACTGCTACATAAGTATGCTCAGTGGACACTTCATGTAGGATTTACTCTGGACTGAAGATGAGTAGGGATGCACAGTTAGTCACAACTTCACTTTAGTTGGATTGGGACCCAAATGAAATGTATTTCACTGATGCTGTAAGATTCAGCCTGCCTAGCCCTACCCTGAAAGTGCCACAGTATTTCTCCAGGCTGACCCTCCATCTCCCTTCCAGAGCACTGTGTGTTAGCCCCAACTTTGCTAACATTGAAATGCTTTCATTCAGGCCATAAGCCATTTTCCATGAAACCACCAAGTGTGAGTTAATCTTACATTCTCCTTGCATCATTTCCAAACATTAGCCTTTTTCAGAGCATTTCAGTCTGCACCCAGGAGATCAGACTCACCAAAAATAGTTAAGGCAGGGCAATGACTCTACCCTTAACTCCCACTGCTGTATACATGGCTGATTACTCTTGAGTAAGCAACCAAAGAAGTGTATCCCTTTTAGGTAAGGCTAATGCTAGAATTAGCATTTCGAGTAAACCTGTGCTTTCAGTAGTATGTTTTATGCAGCAATAGGAAGCAATGTGGAAGACGGGAGCTTCCAGCAAGAGGCATCAGGTGCAATTATCCCATCCATATCTCCTTAATGGATATTCTGCATTAAGAAGAATGATGGCAGAAATGGTGGGAAAACATTGGAGGGCTACAAGTAGAAGAGGTCATAAAATTATATGAATGTGGCAGGGTTGCTGTGGCATAACAGAAACCTTTTCTAGGAAATGCCAGAGTTTGAGTGGCTGATTAATCCAAATGGTAGGAGCCTCTTGGAGGGAGGGGGGAGGCTGAGGATGTAGTGGGAAAACACTGGAGGATTACAACTGGAATCCAATAAATTATTTGAAGGCAGCAGGATAATGCACAATAATAATACTAATAATAAACTTAACTGAAAGCATTGTGTATTTTTTGGGGGGAGGGGATGGGTTTGTTTAAACTGGTGACTCTCACCATTCACTATGTTATTGCAACTTATGGGAGCTGTAGGCCAAAGCACTTGGATGGCCACAAGTTACCCAGCTTTGCTGGCTATGAAAAGGGTTGATCAGAAAACAAGGAAAGAAACAAGCAGGGGCCTGGGAAAGAAATCATGTGTTAGATCTTCATAATCCTCACAATCAATGTTTCCATCTTAGCGCATTCCACGAAGGATCTCTTTGTGGCTACATGCAGCAGCCTGGAAAGCCAAACCATCTAATGACAAGCTATTGTTGGAGAAGCAATTTGTCCATGTGGTTTCTCGCAGTGAAGAACAGTCTTCTAAATATATGCCTGCGAGGACTCTACCTCGCGTTTGCACGGTCCTTTCTGCCATGGCTCAGAGACCGAGTAAGCAGAAAGAAGCCAAACAAAAGAGGGGGAGACCGGGAGAGAGACCAGCATGCCAGATGCTTCCATTGACGACAAGACCTCGGGCCGGCCCCTTGACTTTTCCTTAGCCAATGAGGTGGCCAGCTTGGGTCGAGCCTCCTTCAAGCCTTCCCCTGCTTTTACTGTGATAACCTCCCTGGCAGTCATGTGATGGGGATATAGTACTATGCTAGGAGAGCTAAAGGACACATCACCAGCCGTATTGCTGGTCGCCAAGCGGGACCCCGGTTGCCTTGAGGCGGCTCTCAAGGACAACATCGGCCGCTCCGTCAGTCAGCTTCTCGGGGGAATCGTTGGGGTGTTAAAATACCCTTGATTATCGCCATTCGTATTATTTTCCTTTTTCCCCTTTTTCAATGTCAAGAGGAGCCGCTACCTATTGGGATCTTTTTTCGTGATTTAACTTTTTTTTTTCCGGGGGGGTGCCTTCTTCCCCCTTCCCAGATTTCCCTCGCCCCTGGTGTTGACAGAAAAAAAAAGTTCAGGTAAGGAGCAAATGACACGAGTCTCACTGATACGATATTGGGGCAGCGGGGAGGGGGCTGCAAGGCGGAAGCTTGTTGCGGGTGGAGTAGGGGAGAGAGAAGGCAAGCCCGCGAGGGGAAGAAGACGCCAGTCCTCGCAGCGGGATCCGGCGACATGTGCGCGCGCGCACGAGTGCAGCCACGCGCCGGATCGGTGCCCGGCGGCTCTCCGGGGCTCCGGAGAGAAGCCCCGAGTCCGATCCGATTAGCCGCCCTCGGTGGGAGTGCTTGCATGCAGAATTCAAGGAATGTGGGTGGCCTGGAGAAGGACAGGAGCAGATCCGCCGCGGCTCCACGAAATGGAGGCAGGACGCTGCGCGTGCTTGTTTACGGTGAGAGGCGCAGTGGGAGCCGAATTCCGTTAAGGGACACCCTACGCACCGCGGAGGACAAGATCCTTGCCTAGAGATCCCGGTGCGTTCCGATCTTGCACTCCTGCCGGAGAGCGGCGTTTCCGAGGAAGGGACGAGACGTCATTTCCCACCATATGTTAGCGCCGAGGCCGCCCGCCGCCCGCCCGGTGGTGGCTCAGGACTTACCCCGCGAGGCGCAAAAGCTCCGGCGCTGCTCTCCAGGAGCGGCGGCGCGCGTGGCGGCGACCCAAGCGCGGTCCCTTGTCTCACAGATAAACACGCAGGTGCTTTCCTGCTTCCTAATTTCGGCCACGAGGTGAGATTTTCTGTTTCTCTTCGCCGCCGGAGGGGGATTCGAGGGCTGCGCCTTCGCTGCTAGAGATGGAGAGATGCCCCTTTTAGCTTTTCAGCCCCTTTCCTTGGACTTGCAGGCTCGATTCCTTCCAGCAGGTGAAAAAGTGGCTCTGGTTTGTTTTAAAGCTCCGCGCGGCTCGCCCCCCCCCCCCTCCAGCTACCCCATGGGGTGAAACACAAACACATGGCCTTGGGATCTGGGGGCTTCTTGTGATGTCGGGTGCCTAGGCTAGCACAGATGGCTGCTGCTGTGGTGTTAGCGACTGAGAGCAGGTGAGGTGGCAAAACAAGCAGGAGCTGCATTTATTTATTTACTTCGTAAACGGACTGATTTATGCGGTGCAATATAGCAGGGCTAAAATAGCTTTCTCCCCACACCTTGTTCTCCCAGATGTGTGGACTACAACTCCCCTGATTCCCGGTACTGAACATGCTCCTGTGGTGTCATAGGAGTTGTAGTGCAAACAAGTTGGAAGAAGACTAAGCTAGAAAAAGCTTTTTATCTGGAAAAGAATTCGGTGTGATTTGACAGTTGGGACCGTGGGATGCGAACCTTAGTTATTGCACCCCGAAAGAGCATGGTCTTTGGGGGACTGATCATGGAATATGATAGATGGAGGCAGTTCCATCACATTTTGTCAGTCCAAAATACTGCTATCGGACTGTTTCTTCTTGGGACCTCAAATTTCTACTCAACAGATAGCAAGTTTTCCCTGTGGATGATATTCCACAGGCTAGTTGCTAGGACAGGGTTTTCCACAGCTGGGTCTCCTCCATTCTGAGTATAAGTGTAAATTAAAATGTGTGAGTGCATTGAGAAATCATGTGTACACCATCACGTGAGAAGATTTTGGGCTCCTTTGGCCACATGACAAGCAGTAGTTTCCAAGCATATGACAAAAAACACACACCCATGTGACTTTTCACACATGGGAGTGAGCCTGGCTTTAGGTTTTGCTCCTACACACCCATGTAGGGAAACCATCATATGTGAAATGGCCCTTGGTGCTATTTCTGAACTGCTATCATAATTAGGACATCCCTCCTTCCTTCCCTGTTACAGCAGATGATCTTTCCTGTAGTCTCTTGCTTCTCACCTTGATAAAGGCCTTTCTGACATAATGGTGCGGATTTGCGGAGGGATGAGGCACACGTTCTGTAGGAGTTGCTGCTGCAGGGGGCCAGGATGGGTTTGTTGCTCTCACCATGCACAGCTTTGACCGGGGCTCTTTTGGAAGGTAGTGGTAGAAAGTAACCTACAGCAGTAACAGGAGGAGGCAGCTGTGTGCTTTGCTCTGCTAGAGCTGTTGTGGTAATGTTGGAAGAAAGGGGAGAGAGAGAGAGAGGATTGCAGGGTTACTGTCGGTCATTCCAAACTTCAGAGGCCAAAGGGAGGGAGCAGAGGAGACAGTACACCACCAGTAAGAGTGCATGTTCAGGCTCTTTAATGCCTTATGAAGCTGAGGTTGGGCTTTAAACACACTTGGCTATTCAGAGGAAGCAAAACAAGTCCCCTGCTAAACCACAGCCTGATTTTTGCCGGGATATTAAATGTACCCTCCAACTCCCTTCCTCCCCTCTTCTCCTCCCTCCTCCCCGCTCCATGCCTAGTGCAATGAATCCCAGTGCTTTTATCCATTCACATTGTGATAAATGACCATAGAGAAGCTTCGGACTGCATGTGTGTGACCAGCATGAATGTCATTGTGGAATGTACACCATCTAGGGCTGTGGATTAAAGTCTTTGGCTATTATTGCAGTAAACAAAGCCTTTCCTTCTTCCGAAAACAAAGTAGAATGGATGCATTTTTCAAAGCCAGTTGACTTTGGATAAGAAAAGGGACTCTTTTTCTTTTCCCTCCTCCATTCCTACAGAAATTTTGACAAAGCTGAGAAGCACAGCTTGTTAGAGCACATTTCTCATCCTGTGTCAATGTTTCCTAATAAACTCCTTTGCCTTGATAAACCTAATAAACTGCATTATTACTGGGATCTGAGCTAAGTCTACCAAGCCTAGTATGTTATGCATTCTAAAATCCTGATTTTAAAATAGTATAAAAATAAAGGGGAAGAGCAGTATATCATGATAAAGTTGTTAAGACTGACCTTTATGGGGAAAGAGGGAACTTTTTAAAAGCTTGCTTGCTCGAAACTTCTCCTTGCTCCCATCTAAGTGTCTTTTGCAGATGTTCTATTGATCTTTTAAATATTCACTGTAATCATGGAATCTAGATACTTGCTCTGTGTCTTGAAACTGAGGCACAGAACAATTGCTTGAAGTGGACTGCATTGGTATTGTGCCTAATTATAATTGTGCACTAAGAATAGACCCTGACTTAATACACAGAAGCTGTTGCTGTCCACTGTCAAACATGCCTTTCTCTTACATTAATAACTGGCACAAATGTACAATCATATGCTCTGCAGACAGGAGTGAAGCCTTCTCTGCAGAACTTAGCAGCAAGCATATTTTTGAACCAGCCTGAGAGCAGAAGACAGCAAAGGATTATTATTATTATGAAGTCCTGTAAGATTTCCTTTGATACATCCCTTTGTGTTGACCCAGCAAACACTGGGAAACACAACAAGTTTCTGCATTTATCTCTTTGGGTTCTCACATGCTGGGAAGTTTTAAACCAAGCTGAAAAATCACGAAAAGTGACCCGAGAGTTGCATCCGGACCAGGCTCTTCTAGAGGTTCACATCTCTGCTTAGCCATGAAGTCCAGTGGGTAGCCTGAAGCATATCCCTGTTTTGTAGCTGAACATAACTTCCGGAGTTGTTATGAGGATGAACTGGCACAGACCCTCGCATGCCACCTGGAGGGGAGATGGGGATAATTGTGATAAATCAGTCAATAAACACAAGGCATTGTTTGCACTCCCTCACAATGTAAGTGGTTCCGTATTTTTACTTTTGGAGGCTCTGCCCAGCAGTCCTCCACTCTTCACTGTTATCTGAGCTGGAAGGACCAAGGCCTAATTCAGTAAAGCACTGCTCCCTATTTTCCTATGGCAGAGCCAGCTTGCCTTCCCCTTACCCCACTGACCACGCTCCCCACCATTGCAAGAATGGGCAGTCTGAATATAAAGATATATACACACAGGGGTCTTTCTTGCACTGGGATTGCTCGCTCTAATCCTCACCCTCACATGGAGGAGCTCTGTGTGTGTGCATCTGTATTTGCATAGGGCCCATGCTTGCTGAGGCCTGGCATATGGCTAGTAGGGGTATGGCCAGCGGGAGCCTCAGTGGCCAGCCTGTACAGCAGATTTCCCCACCCTGGTGCCCTCCAGTCTCCATCTCCTGTCACCCACCCAACATGGCCAATGGTGGGGATTGCTGGGAGTTCTGGACCAAAACATCTGGAGGAAACCAGGCTGCAGAAGGCTCCTCTGCAGAAGCAGAGACAGGGAAATACATTTCCTTGTTTTTTCAAACCCAGCACTGGCTGCTGGACTATACTGGGCTGGCATTTTCTGCTTTCTCTACATGAAGACAAGAACATCTGCAAATAAACTGGAAACTTAGCGTTTCTGGGACACAGGACTCCAGTAAATGGATGCAAAATCGTCTTTGAAGGTCCATGTTGATGTGTCCCAGTCTGAGTCGTGCGCAGACTGCATGCGTTATTTGTGCAATCCATGCAGTAAGCAGCTCATAGATTTGTGAGGTTGTTTTGCATGAAAAAGGGCTGACAACTTATATCTGAGACATACTCAGGATTGTGCTGTAGGAGCTACTTCACAAGTTCCACAGCAGCCTAGGTACATCAGATTTCCTTTCTGGCAGCCTTAGCAAGGAGCTGTCAGCATGTCCAGAGCTGTTTTAAAAAGCACCAAATAAGCTCATAGTGTTGCAGTAACATGGGACCCCCATCCAGCCCTGCAGTGCTATAAACATCCCCAAGAGTAACGTGTGGCTCTGGTTTTGCATAACTTTCTGCTTTCTCCTCTAAAGGCTTATTCGGACCTACAGCAATCTTCTGGTATCTTCTAGTACATTTTCTGCCTTTTTAATATCTAGCTGGTGACCTAATGAGAGAATTGTTACTCAGGGCAAGACCACTCTTAGGTCCAGTAGCAAAACAGCAACCCTGTGCTAATTACAGCAGGGACTTGGGATGCTTCTGTGTGCTGTGAAATAAATAATTGATACACTTCACCCCAAATCTGGCTGCATTCCAGATCCAGAAAAAAAGAATCTATTCATTAATAAACTCTTGGGAGCAGGCTTCCACAGATGAGAATACAG